GTGTCTAGTGGCTGGCCCTACCCAGACACCCAGTGCTTCAAGGCCATGGGCCTGATTGGACATTTACAAAGATCTTGGGCCCAGATCTCACATCTCACTAGAGCCAAATGGTGCATCTCCCCCTGGGTTCCTCACAGATGTGGTGCTCAGGGACACAGAGCACATGGCTTCTTCCCAGCAGCCCCAGCAGCCACCAGCAGGACAGTGGACACATACATTGTGGTTTGTTCACATAAAGCACTGTCTGCAGTGAGGACTGTGTGGCCGGTAACGCGTGGCTGGTAACATGTGGCCAGATCTCACAGACACAAAGCAGTGCAGCCTTCGGTGATGAGGGCTGGCTTAGTTGGGGGCAGGGGGAGAACAGGGATCCTCAGGAGCCAGAAACAGCCCCACACTTGGTTCTGGTGCTGTCCAGCAAGTGTGCACATATGAACTTTCTTAAAGCTATACTTTTCCTTTTTGCACTTGGCTATTGCTAAATTATATCAGGTTGAAGCAGATAAAATTGCCAGTGCTGAGGGCAGTGCCTGTGGCTTAGTGGGTAGGGTGCCAGCCCCATATACTGAGGGTGGTGGGTTCGAACCTGGCCCTGGCCAAACCACAACAAAATAATAGCTGGGTGTTGTGGCATGCGCCTGTAGTCTTAGCTACTCGGGAGGCTGAGGCAAGAGAGTTGCCTAAGCCCAGGAATTGAAGGTTGCTGTGAGCTGTGACACCATAACACTACCGAGGGTGATAAGGTAAGACTCTGTCTCAAAAAAAAAAAAAAAAAACCCAACAAAAAACACCAATGCTGTCCTTGATCATTTCTAACTATAAAAATAGTATTATTATATGATTCAAACTAATACCTCCTCAATATTAAAGAAAAACTCAGCAGTTTGAATAGTATTAACCAGAAAATGATCAGTGAAAAACAGTTCACTAAAAGTTTTGAAAGAAACATAATTGTGGAAGTGCAATTTATTTTAGCCACAGTGGTAGTGGTGGGGGGATTTTCTGAGATTATGATGTTTGAGCTAAGACCAAATGCAAGAGGGAGCAAACTGATGGAAGAGTCCTCAGGCATATGGGTATGGCATGTGCAAAGGCCCTGGGGTGAGAACAAGCTCAGAGTGTCCCAAAGGAGCAGCTCTGAACAACTAAGCAGTGTCAACCATGGGCACCCTTAGGGGGCAGGAGAAGGGGTTAGGAGCTCCTGGGCACTAATGCATTTGTAGGATGTTTGGCCATGACACTCAGGATGCCAGGTCCAGCCCAAATGAGTTGGCCTTGGAGACAGAATCACTTCTATGGGGTGACCTGAGGGGTGTCAGGAAAGCCCCATGTGCCTCCCCTACTGCTTGTCCTGTGTCTGATGTTCATCTCTTTTCACCTCGAAGGCTGACATGTGTCAGGGAAAGTGCTGTGTCTTGGGACAGTGAGGGGGCAGTGAGGGGCTCACTTATCTCCCCAAATCTGACTTGCAATACTTGAGAGGAAGGGGACAGGGTGGCTCTGGGCCAGAGGGACTGCTATTTCATGACTACCATGTAGGCTGGTGCTATCTCCTCTTTGGCATTAGAGAGGCCTAGTGACCATTTCAGGAGGGCTTCTTTGAGGGGGTGAGAGGACCTAGGCCCAGCGCCCAACTCCTCACACTCCTGGGCCAAATACCCCTCAGGGTCTGCTAGCTAAGCTGAGCACAGAGCCCTGTGGACAAGGCCAGCTTCCCCTCTTGGCACCGGCCTTCCCCTATAAAACCAAGCCCTCCAAGGACACAGATCAGCCTTTCCTTCAGTTCTAGTCAGGAGACTGTGGGGAGGGCTAACTCCATCCCTGCACACAGCTTTTGGAGCTGTAGCCCCTCATCTGTTCATGGTCCCACAATGTCCGCCTCATGCACATAGCAACAGTGCCGCCCTCACTGCTCATGGACCTCTCTAAAGGCTTTGTTTTTGGTTTCTAGAATTCAGAATGTCTCAGGGACATTGTCTCTTGAGGGACAACGAGAAGCATCTAATCTGACCTTGTCTAATGCTTCAATCTCTGCCTCTCCACTTGCATACCCCTAGGGTTAGGGAGCTCACTCTCCACACACACAGCCTTTGAGGACATGCTGCTGGCTCTGACTGATGGCCTGGTCAGGCCTATAAAGCTCCAAGTATCCTGACCCATGCACAGGGACTCTGGGCTGAGCAGGACTCTGCTGGAAGGGTCTGCTCTGATCCTACAGAACAGAGTTCATCACTGATGAGGAAACTACCAGAGAGTTAGGAGCTCAGCTTGAGGAAGGGAGCTTGTTAGTGAAGGGGAGGAAAAGCCATCTCTGGTTAGCTCCTTTCCTCTCTTCAGGAGATGGCCGAGGGCCAGGGTCACATATGACAAGAATAAGCCTCAGAACCTCCTGTGTAAGGAGCTAGTAGGGACAGGCCCAGGCTGGCTCAGTGGCCTCTGGGCCCATGGGCCTTCTTAGCCCCTGTCCTAGGAAGGTCTGCGTCTGGACTCTGTGTGGGGTCCAACTCAGGACACAACCATGCAGAGCCCTGATGGGCCCTGCCTAGCACACTCCTCAGACCCAACTTTCAAGAAACTTCTTAATGCTCTTTGCCTCCAGACCCAACTGTATGGCCAACATTTCCTGCCTGAGGGGCCACCCCCAACGTTTGGTCAAATATTTTAAAATTCCCATTCCATTCTGTGCAGGAAAGTTGCTATGCTGCAAGTCAGATCTGTAGTCAGGCTCATAGCCTCATAAGTGCTGCGTGTTGCCTCCTGCTCGAAACACACAGGACACAGAATTACCTGCTGCACAACAGAATGTGCCCATTGTGTACGTGGGCAACAGGAAGACACCCTGCTGGCTGCAGGCCCAGCTGTGGGGGAAGGAGGCCTGCACATAGGGAGAGCTGGGGTCAGGGCCATGGCCCTGGCACCGTCCTGCCCTTTATTTGGTATCAAGCTGACCCTCCTGGGAACAGAGGCCTGGAAGGAACGGCTGTGTGGGGTCCACCTTGTGGAAGGTAGAGGAAGGTGTCACTTAGTCTGGGGGTGTTGCTGGCCCCTGCCTTGAATAGCCCCTCTCTTGCACCCTCCACTGGCCCTTTCTGCAGCCCTGTGTAGGGGCAGGGGCTCAGCTTCCTCCCACAGATTCAGGCAGACAGATTTGCCTCAGATAGGCAGGGAAAGGAGGGAAGAGAGTGTCAACGGGGCAAGAACCAAGAATGGTGAGGTCCCAGTCCCTGCCGGCCTGTCAGATGACTCCTGCATAAATTTCACCAGGGATCAGAGCCAGGCCTGGAACTACTGATGTAGCTTAGATCTGGCTTGAGAGCCCTTGAGTGTTCACTGTGATGTGTGTGCTTGACGTATCTGACAGTAAGAGTGAGGCCTGAGAGAGAGGCAAGGACTCTGTGGCAAGCGCCTTGGATTGTGGCAGAGCGACCGCAGCAAGGGAGGGGAGGACGTAGGCCAAGAGCCAGCAGGCTATGGTTCAAGCCTCAGCCCAACAGTAACTAGCTGTGAGATCTTCCCTCTGACTCAGTTTCTCCTTCTATAAAATGGGGAGAGTAATAGCTCCCACCCCTCAGGGTTGCCTGGGAAAGGTGGCATCACTTAGAACAGAATCTGGCACCCAAGTGGCATTCTCCAGGCTCATGGGGGCCCTGGGCACCTGTGTTTGGCTGTAATCCTGGTTACCAGTGGACAGGTCAGATGAGATGCCCTTTGAGAGCCCTTCAGGTTAACGAAATCACACAAGCCCTCTGCAAACACCTAAACAGATGAGCACTGGCACCCACGATACCGCCCACAGAGCACCATCACCTGGGTGGCTGGCGCAGCTAATGGCTTTCTGGGTTTCTCCTAAAATCAGATATGCCAAAGCAAGACACTGTCACAGCCAGGAGCAACTCTGCACCCTGACTGGGCTCAGTGGGGCTGGCTGGCACCAGGCACCTACTGTGTGCCACAGCAAGGACACCCTCCTGGTTCGCTGCTGAGCACCTCCGCCCAGGCCTCACAGGTCATTTACTCTTGTCATTACCAGGCCTTGGGCTCTTAGGAGTTTGTACTTGCTCATCCACAGTCACAAAACTCGAATCTTGGTCCTCCAGAATGGTGTGCTCCCTGGGCCTTCAAGGGCTCACTCTGGCTTTGAGTGCCAGCCCCCTCAACTATAAAAATGAGGATGTAAACGCTCAAGATGCTGGGGCAGAGGGGGAGGGACCCTGGCCTGGGCCTGACCAAAGGACCCTTTTTAGGAGCCGGCAACAGGAAAAGGATGGGGGCGGCCCAGTGGCTGCGGAGCCCACCAGGGCACAGAACATTTCTGGTTGAAAGAAAGGAGCAGGCTGAAGCTTTTGTAAGAGTACAGGGGTGGGGGATCGCTCCTGCTGGGCGCTCCAAGTCCCGCGCCTGGTCCCTCCGGGTCCTGCCTGCAGCCCCTCTTATGCAACCCTACGCGCTGCGCTGGGGCGGGGCGTCTGCTGCCCTCTGGCGGCCGGAGCGCGCGGCCGCCGGGCGGTGGCTTAGCTGGAACCAACGCCGGCCTGGGGACGCCAGCGGCTGGGGGCCGGGGCGGGCTTTGTGCGGGGACCTGACAGAGATACAGTCTGCGCAAGCCCCCAGCAAACGGCGCTGCCATTATTGGATTACTATGGTTATTCTCTGGGGAGACGGAGAAACAGAAAAAGTGAAGTAAGTGAAGGCGCGCGTGTGTCGTGAGAACTGGGGTCTTTGCCCGAAGTCACAGAGCATCAGAGGCATAGCCCAGACCAGAACTCCGATGCCCCTGAGGCCGCTGAGCTGGATGTAGAGGGAAAGCAGAGTTGGAGGTTAGTGTCGGCCCGACCCTAGATTCAGAGTCTGGCGAGTGCCCAGAGGCTGGCGCGGCGCCGAGGGCGGGGCGGGGCGAGGCCAGGGGCGTGACGCACTGCGGGGTGGGGCGGGAACGCCGGGCTGGCTGAATATAAGGGCAGCGGCGGGACAGACAGACCAGAGCGAGCAGTGTGTGTGGAGACCTGGCTTACCGAGAGTACAGCCGGCGCAGATCCCTCTGTCTGCTCACTCGCGCGCCCCTGTCGCACTTCTCTCGGTCCGGCGTCCACCTCCGCGACCCCTCAGCCCAATGAAACTGGCTGCGATGATCAAGAAGATGTGCCCGAGCGACTCGGAGCTGAGCATCCCGGCCAAGAACTGCTATCGCATGGTCATCCTCGGCTCGTCCAAGGTGGGCAAGACTGCCATCGTGTCGCGCTTTCTCACGGGCCGCTTCGAGGACGCCTACACGCCCACCATCGAGGACTTCCACCGCAAGTTATACTCCATCCGCGGCGAGGTCTACCAGCTCGACATCCTGGATACGTCGGGCAACCACCCATTCCCCGCCATGCGGCGCCTCTCCATCCTCACAGGTGAGCGGGGTGGGAGAACGAGCCCTACTGTTGTGGGGGTGGGGGCGGGAGTTTTGCACTTGGCGCCTGGAGAGACCCGCGCTGTCCACGGGGCAGCTGGCGCCCCGGCGGCCCCAGAGTCAACCCGGCTTGTCCGCTAGGCAGCCTCCCTCCCTCACTCCTTTTTTGCTCCCTGTGCCCCTGCAGGAGACGTTTTCATTCTGGTGTTTAGCCTGGACAACCGCGACTCCTTCGAGGAGGTGCAGAGACTCAAGCAGCAGATCTTCGACACTAAGTCTTGCCTCCAGAACAAAACCAAGGAGAACGTGGACGTGCCCCTGGTCATTTGCGGCAATAAGGGTGACCGGGACTTCTACCGCGAGGTAGAGCAGCGCGAGATCGAGCAGCTGGTGGGCGATGACCCCCAGCGCTGCGCGTACTTTGAGATCTCGGCTAAGAAGAACAGCAGCCTGGAACAGATGTTCCGCGCGCTCTTCGCTATGGCCAAGCTGCCAAGCGAGATGAGCCCCGACCTGCACCGCAAGGTCTCAGTGCAGTACTGCGACGTGCTGCACAAGAAGACGCTGCGGAACAAGAAGCTGCTGCGGGCTGGCAGCAGCTGCGGTGGCGGGGGCGGCGACCTGGGGGACGCCTTTGGCATCGTGGCGCCCTTCGCGCGCAGGCCCAGCGTGCACAGCGACCTCATGTACATCCGTGAGAAGGCCCGGGGTGGCTCCCAAGCCAAGGACAAGGAGCGCTGCGTCATCAGTTAGGAGTCTCTGCCGCGCTGGCGACAAAGTCTGAGGACCCTTTTTGTTTAAAAGTCAAGTCCGTCCGCCAGCCCTGTGTGTCCCGGTCCGCGCGGCGAGCGCACGTGTACTGGCGTCTTCCCTCCCAGCGACCCGGGGAAGCGCCACCGAATGGAGAAGGGACGGTCATCTGCTCTGGAAGGAAAGAGAACTGGCTAGGACTGGGTCTCCTCCCCATCCCCCCATCGGTGCCCGCCACCCCCCGCGACTAGAGGGGCAAAGGCCCAGCAAAGCGTGGACTTGTTTCTCGCGAAAACCTAAGCATGAGAGTGGGGAGGGACGCCATGGAGTCAATCAGTCACGGCCAAGCTTCAAGAAACTGTCCTGCTCGAGGGTCAGGACAGCTGGGCATTATCTCATCTGTGATTCCAGGTTGCCATGATAGCTGGCAAAGCTCCTACCCTCCGAGAACTAAAGGGGGTGTGGGTCAAATCAGCCAAGTGACTTGTTTACATGTGTGTGAGTGAAATTGCATAAAGGGAAACAAAACATAAAACTTGCACTTTAATAGTAGTTCTGGTGTCAACATGGACATGAACAAAATCTTTTCCAGGTGTTTATACTGTGTGTGTGAGGTCTTTAAAGTTGTTATTGTGGGTTTTTTAAAATAAAATAATTTAAAATGGAAAACTGGTTTTTGTGTTTCGCAATGGCTGAGGAGGGAGGAGGCTGGGTTTCTGCTTCTGTGGAATTAGAATTCACCTTCCCTGGAACAGGAAAATAACCCTGGCAGCCTGAAAATAGCTCTAGTCATCACAGGAAAAATGGCTGGGGAGACGCTCCAGGTGCAGACCAAGTCCTCCTATTCCGGGTAGGCTTGCTGGATCTCAGGGTACTCCCTAAAGCTGAAATCTTTCTGGCCATCAACCTGTTTAGTTTTCTTTAGGTCAATTCACATGGGGCCTTATTTTCTGAAAGGACATTCTCATTTCCCCATTAGTATAAGGGCCATTGGAACTGTGCCTGGACATTTTTTCACTAGACTCAGGGTGGGCCTGGGCTACAGAAAGATGTCACTCAGGCCCTGCTTTCACAATTAGGGAAATGGAGCTTGAGTTGCCACATTTCACTGTCTGGAGATGCTGAAATCCCATCCCCATGGCCTTTGCCTCCATCCCCCACCCCCAGCCTCAGGCAGTGCTCTAAGTGAGCTCCAGTGCCCTCTTTACCTTGTTGTCTCCCTCAGTGAGTGGGACCAGCTTTACCTGCCACTAGTAATGGCAAACTTGGGCAGGCCATACACATCAGGCCCTAAATTCTCCATGGAGGAACACAGAGAACACTGTCTGCATGGGTTGCTGTGGGGGTTGTGATGTTTGAAAATTAGTGAAAGTAGAAAGCAGCACAGTGCCTGGCAAGCAGTAATCCAAACTATTGGTGGCTCTGAGTGGGTGATCAGCCCTGTGAAAGACATTCAATGCTGGGAAGGAATTTCAACTTTGTTTAGTGAGGGCAACTCCCTTCAGGACTGAACTTCCTTAAATTTCCAAAAGGCATGCACACCATCAGCACACAGCCCAAAGGGGCTGACCACAGGCAGGCACAAGGATGAGCCATTTGGCATCTGCCCTTGGGGACAGATGCCATTCCTTCATTGCTGGTGTCGCTGGTATGTGTACTGGGGTGGAGGAAAGTAAGGAGCAGAAGCTCCCTTCTGTGCCTGAGCAAGGAGAGGAACATTTTCCTCTCTTTGACCTGAGAGCCATCCTGCTATGAATTTCTCAGTACAAAAACCATGGCATCCAGAGAGCAGAGCGTGGAAGTTCTTTTAATTATACAAGATTAAAATTGTATAATTTTTTACAACTGAAAAATGTCACAATTCAAAACACTGGAACACATGGAAAGTCCTCTCTCTCTCTGCCTCTGTGAGGAAGCTTTCTCCATTTTAGCCTAGCACTGCAGAAAGACCTTGATGGTCTTGTATTTTTATGTGCTTTGTGTTTCATGGTATTTGGGCAGAGCCTTAAAACTGGCTCATTCACTACTCTGAAATTTCATGAAAATAACTGATTCAGTTAAATAACAATCCCAAGATAGAACTGGTCTAAAAGGTGACTACCCACTTAAATTCAGAGTCTGCTTTTCTGCCCAAAGCCACTGAAATCTTATCTCCTTCACACATACCCCTTCCTAATAGGACAGTCTCTTTCTGACAGGTGGCTGCAGATCACCACCACTGGAACTCTGCTAAAAACATCTCTAACTAATACTCCTGCCAATGAGGTCAGTTGGCAGGCAGCTGCTAAGCCTCTGAACTGGTCAGCACAGGTTATGTGCTCCTTTCTAGACCCAAACAATATTCAGTTACTTCTCACCTTAAGAGGCAAGGGAAGAACTGCTCTAATCTCAATTTGACAGTCAAGGGGACAGCACACAAATAAAATGTCCTATCTAGAAGAAATCAGAAAAGCTGGAAGATCCACAAAAAAAAAATAATAAAATAAAATAAAATTAAATTAAAAAAAAAAAGAAAAGCTGGGAGAGAACAAGGGCAGTTTATAAACACTGAAGAGCTAGAACTTGTCTGGGCAACTTCTAGGCCTACTTCACCCTGTGGAGGGACCATTCTGAACTGTCACTTAGAGGGGCCTTTTCTCTAAACAAAAAGTGCATCATGAACCCTTTACAGTGCAGTAAATGTTGCTGACTCTGACGCAAGAAGGCCAGAGGGTGGAATACTTTTTTAAATCAGTTCAATGTGAAACTAAAATGACAGAAGAGGGAAGAGCTATTCACTGGAAAACTGGCTTGAACCTGCACAGAAAGACAGCACTTCACCAAATCCAGAAAGCGTTGTGGATATGAAGTGGTTTGGCCATTCTTGGGCACTAATCAAAGGTGAGAGGAGATGAAAGGAGCAGGAGCTGAATATAAGGAGAACCTGGAGGAGGTAGGGAACCTGGCAGGGCTCTGGGCTGATACTTCCCATGGATACAGCTCAATTCACTAGCTAAAACATAAATCAAACTCTTTCAAGAGAAAAAGCTCCCCCTGACTTTTCAAAACAATGTTCATTCTCTCACAGCCTTCTTTTACCATATGAAATGCACGCCATATGAGTGCAGGCCTAATTCATTCAGTGAAGTCTATGCAAATGTTTCATGAAACTGCAGTTAACAGGAACAATATGTACCTGGTACACTCTGAGCATAAAGGGGGTGGGAGGAGAGTAAGAGAAGGAAGCTGCAAGCTGCCTCCTTTCCCACTGTGCTCTTCAGCTCTGCCAGTGGGGCCACACACACAACAGAGGCCCCTCCCCAGAGGCAGGGCAGAGTCCTCCACACTTCCCCAGCCTCCAGGAACATTCTGACTGCCACCAGTAGGGACTTAAGCTGTCAAGCATCTAGACACAAGGGAGCCCCAAAAGAGCCTAGTTTGCTGGCTCCCTGAAGTCCATGCTGACCAAGCAGTCTAGCGGCTCTGAGGTTCACAGCTGGAGTCCAAAGGAACCATACTCCAAGGGAGTGCTGGGGTGGGGAGATGTTTGCCACTTCTTTCTTTCTTAGGCATTCCTGAAGTCAGCCTCACTCTACTCCTTGGGGATTTCAAACATGCAGAGACTCTTGTACTTTTGCAGAAGTTCATTCTTGGTCCTGACTTGTTCCCGGAGGCTGTGCAGCAGCAGCTGCTGCTGCTCAGGGCTCAAGTGGATGCCAGGCATGGTGCTAATGAGCTTTCGCATCTCCTGGAACTTGGATTTGAGGGCATTCAGGTCCTGGTGGATGTCTGGGCTGTCTTTGTCCATGCTGCAAGGGGCAGAAGGCAATCATTAGCATTCACGCTGGGATCCACAACTCATCTCCCTACTATACCCCCCAGAACCAGCCATCACTCCCACAGTATCTTTTAGAATGCTGTGTTTGATATACCTGACCCCGACTAGGCTATGCACAGAAGGCAGGGACCACTTCCTTCATAGGCGACTATAACCCAAGAGAACCACCCGAGTGCCAGGCACACTTGCACAGGAAAGGACACCGAAACTCTGTTCTTTAGTACAATCAACTGTCATTCCATAAAGGTGGGAACTGTCTGCCTTGTCATAGACGTCCCTCTATCCCTGGCCCAGTGCACTGGACACTGCAGGCACTGAAGATATATTAGTTCAAAGAATGTTTGGCAATTGCATTCATAAATGTGTGCTGAATAAATGAACAAACCAATGCCAACATTAGGTGACACACGCCAAATAAAACTTGCTGAAATACTACATTTTGTCTAATTTGAGCTATTTCCAGGCCAAACAGGAGACTTAAAACTAGCAAGAGATAGATAATTTTAGCTGATGTTTTGATGGTTACTTGAGCCTGTTAACATAGACTAATTTCCACAGAACTGTTCACAAATTTTAAATTAGTTACAAGCTATTGAAAAGTATTCAGTAGGTACAGACTCTCTCCCACCATACTCAAGTCAACTCCTTGCCTTCAGATCAAGCACATTTTCAAAGCAGATCATTCACTTCATCTCACAGCTATTATTAGCTGAGTAGAGATCCATGCTCCCTCCTCACTACCAAATTAAAAACAAGAACAAAAACCCTCACCCAAGATTAAGGAAATAGCTCTGAGTTGCTTAAGTGGATGAACTTTTGAAAATAAGCAGCTGAGACTATAAAAGCCAATTCAGTAAGCTGTTCTAAAAGTAGCCATTGAGGTGTAAGGGGTAAAAAACTGTCAATGATCACTTATTTTGTTAATAAATGTTCATCCCTGGTGGGGAGTTTCAACACAGATAATGCTAATTGACATTTAGTTTTCATCACTTATCTGCTTCCGCAGACAGAACACCCATCTCCCTGGAGATCCATCAGTTACATCTCCCACCCAGCAGACCTGACTGCCACCAGCACCTGCTTGCTGTTTATCAACTTCCCTAAAGTCAGAGGGAAGATCCGGACAGCCAACCAAACATTTCTTGTTGTCATTTGATGCTCTTAACTTAGAGATATAATTAACGATATACCTTACCTCAGTTTCTAGGGAGGAATAATTGGTATTCATGAGAAATGAAAATATTTGAAGGGAAGCAAATAAGGAACATCTCTTATTTTAGTTCTTTTCAGTTCAGCCCTGATCCACAAATGTGGACAGAAACCATCTGGACTTTTGGAATCATCATACCTAGACAGCATGCATGATAACATTCTTATGAAGTTAAGTCCCTAGGAGGTTTTAAAATTATAGTTTTAAGAAAATGGATTCATATCCTTTGAAAAGGTACAGTAAAAGCAAAATATACAAAAAACAGAAATTTGGAAGAAAGTTAGATAATCTAGTTCTTGAAGCAAACATAACACGGCCCCAAAGAAAAGTTAGTTACGACTATAAAAGTGGGCCACAGGGGCGGGCACCTGTGGCTCAAAGGAGTAGGGTGCCAGCCCCATATGCCAGGGGTGGCAGGTTCAAACCCAGCCCCAGCCACAAACTGCAAAAAAAAAAAAAAAAAAAGTGGGCCATATTTAAAATGCTCATTTCTGAAAACTCTCACATCTCTAGGGTTGCCCATTCTTCACCTGGTGAACTTTCTGGAAAGGAGATGAGCTTCATATAATAAAAAAGGAGCATTTGAAAAGTTGCCTAGAGGGGAGCTGAGCTGAAAGGGGGCCTTGCAGCCCACAGGGAGGCCCCTGTGCAAGCTCTTCAACCACCCCAGCTGGTTGAGGTAAACAGAACTCCTGGAGTGAGGAAAACACGCTCTTCAGAACACACTATTTGAAACAAGGCGGCACCTGTGAAGCCAGAATGACTGAAATATTCAATCCAAAAGAAAAGGGACAAACCCAAATACTTAGTGAATAAAGGCAGAGGGCTCTAAATGGGCCTGGCTTTGTGTTCAATGTTAGTCATCAGCCAATTTTAGAAGGAAGAAAAAAAAGGTGACTAGGTCAAGGATGAAAATTGTACAAACAAGGCAATGTCTACACACTTTTGGCACACCTACCCTGCTTTTGGACAAACACACTACTGCTAGGGGCGATCCTCAGAGCACCCTTCACTTGGATGACAGACATTTGTATCTGTGTCACCAGATTCATGGGCAAACTACACAGGGTTTAGGTGAGTGGGTCTGAGAATCATGCCCCAGTTTTCTTTATTTTTCCCATTTCTTTCTCCTCAAAACTTCTGACCCCCTTGCCTCACGTCCCACTCTGTCTAGCTGACCCAGCCGTCCCCTCTGCCCCTAGTTTCTCCTCCCATTGCACTAAATCCAGTGGCTCTCGTCTCTCCAAAAAAATTTTTTTAAATGATAGGTGTTTGAAGAAAAAAATTCAGATGACAAGACACTCAAGGATAGGAAAAGTCCCTTTAATTCCATGTTCTAGAGATAAAACCTCCACTAATATGTGGTGTATACTGTTTCAGACTGCTTTGAAATATACAGTTACATACAAATACAGTTTTGTTACTTAACAGAAATGCAACTATACCCACTTGGGATTTCTTTCCATGTTAATACATATATGATTATACAGCTGAATTATTTGGCTGTTCATGGGTATTTGGAATGTTTGCCATTTATGAGAATGACAAGGAACATTTTATACATAGGTATCTGTATGCACTTATGCAAATATTTTGGCAAGGTAATTCTCCAGAAGTGGGAATTTTGGGTCAAATGTTATGTATATTTACATTTTTGACAGATAACACCAAAACATCAACCAAAAACCCTGCACTGACATACATTCCATGTGACCACTGGCAACACTGGCTATTACTTATCTATTAGCTATCTGTACATCTCTGTTTCAGTTCTGCCCTGACCTGAGAGGCCTTTGGGAAAGAGGCTTTGAAACTCATACCCTTGCTTCCATCTGCTCTCAGGGACATGTGAAGGACATTCTTTTTAGGGAATAGTGACAAAAGGTTCTCTACTAAAGGGAGTTTGAAAAGTCATGGCCTAGGACCATTCATGTACTCTCACCTCTGGAGGCTGAGAACATTTCCCTAGCCACTCCTCAGTCCTGAATTTCAGCTCCCTCCTTCCCAGTCACCAAGTAGCTTCTCCCTAGAGTCTGGGGAGGTGGCAAATGTCCAGAGTAGACTCACTGGCTGCCTCTGACATGCTAGACGGCTGTCCTCCCAGACTTACTCCTGTATGTCTCCTATTCTCCCAACCACCAGTCCTGCCAACTCTATCTACCTCCTCCAGACCTCTCTTATCCACGCACTGCCACCCCACCACTGCACTGCCTTTCTGTGGAAACAGATTTTCCTTTCTTCCTAAACCTTCTGCCCCACCTGTCTTCAGAAACCCAAGTCTGAGCAGGTCATTATGCTGCTTTAAAATCCCAGAAGGCTCCCACCCCCAGACACCACCTTCCAGTACCACCAATTGCCTCTAGCCTTCCCAAGTAGACAGGTGTAAATCCTCCCTGTGTAAATTTCTCAGGCTCCCTGAGGAACTGCAGACTAAGATGAGGCCGGCCTTCAGGGCCTGCCTGGTGGGGTCCAGCAGGAGCTTGGCAAGTTACGTGGAGCAAAAGGAAAGGCAGAGGCAGGGGAGTGAAGAAGCCACTGAGCAGTCCTAGAATGTGTCTTCCACAATCTTTGACATGCCCCTCCCGTGGGCACCATCCTTTTCCCTGGGACGTAGCAGAGGAGGAAGAAAGTTAAGGACAGAGAGTTGCAGTACCATGTGCAGACCACCCCTAGGAGTTGACATGGGTTCTTTGCAGGCCACATCCTGCACAACCCGGAACAGGCCTCAGCTGGTGTGGAGGGCCGGGCAGATGAAAATAGACACTTATGTGGGAAGCAGCCAGCTGATAACACCCTGTTCCCATGAAAGTGATCTTGTTGACCTACCGCAACATGCTGACTCTTTGAAGCAGCCTGGACAATCTCAAAGGGTACAGGATAGCATGGTGTGCTCAGCAGTCAGCTGCCTCTGTGGTGGCAAGGAGGGCTCATCTCTGCCTACCTAGTGCCCCAAGGCAACTGAAGAATTGAAACATTTAATTTAAAAAATGTTTTCAAAGTACCCATACTGACAGAATATTCTATGTGGGCCAAAACCATCAAGCAGGGCCACCACATTTAGAATGCCTAGGCTGGGACACTCAGTTCCAGCCTCAGGTTAGATTCACTAAGTTTGAAGGAATAAAATGATAGCTTTTCCTAGTCTAGCAGAGCTCATTTCATTTCTCCTTTAGTACATACGTACTTTTATAATGTAGCTTCTACATACACCAAGAAAGGTCTCAAAGAGTTATGGTTTGTATTTCTGATAGGCATAAAAATGAGATTTTTCTTTTCCCTTTCCTCACTCTTTAAAAATAACAAATGTGTAGCCTTAATCATTCACCCACGGGAAAGACATGAGGAGAGAAGAAATGGGCTCCAACTCCAAGCGGTGCTGTCCTTGCTGGGGCTCTCTGATAAGACATGGCCCTGGAGCCCAGGGGAGGCTCTGGCTCTCTATGCTGCACTTCCGTGGACATTCCTGGCAGAGGGCTGGTGGGCCCACCAGCCTGGAAGACTTCACCCACCCAAAGGAACTGCCACTAGGTTCTTCTCTAGGCTTTGTGTTAGATGGGTCAGGCAGGGAATTTGAACGTTGTCTGCAGAGATCCTTGAATGGAGGGTTAAAAGTTTGGGCTCAATTTGGGAAGAACGGGGGGCAGAGGAAAATTAATCTGATAACATGCACAGGATAAATTAGAGAGAGGAAATTATGAAGGCAAAGAGGCTGAATAAGTAGTGATTATAAAAAGTTAGGCTAGAAGACTTGGCCAGTGAGT